AAGGTTTCGAGGCCACCAGTAGATCATATATATATATATATATATAAGGTGGGCTAATGTGATATGTGGACTGGCAGTTGAATAGGGTGAATATATTTCATATTAATAATCTACTGGTAGTCTCGAAGGCCTACTTATAAATACGAAAAATAAGTAGCGTAGGCGACTGCCATAGCATATGCAAATTTGCCTTATCGATAATCCCACCACAGAATGTGATATGGGAAAATGTCTGGCATTCCTTGAAATGTACGGCTTCCCTGTTGCCCAAGAGGACTCGTAGCAGTCTGCCATAATGGTTAGCGTTTCGAGATCATACGCTGCACTGCCATAGTTCGAGTCCCGCTAAGAGTGCTGATGAGACCAGATCAGGAGAGGTGGAAAATACAGCCCACTTTTGGTTAGATGAGAATACCTTATGTGAAAGCAGCACAATGTGAAATTCAATAAAAAAGTGGGACATATTTATAGTATTGTGTGAAAGGTTAAGTAATAGTCTTCTTATTGCCTTAAACGAATTAAGCTGAATACACTCACATATATGATTTTTGGTATTCCGGAAAACCTACTTGCCTGATCTGAAAATTATGGACCAAGTACAAATTTGTATTAGTTTACTACAAATGCTGGAATAAACACAGTTTTTGGCGGTTGACACAGACGTTTGAATCATATTTTATATACACAAATATATAAAAGATTAAGCTCTTTTAATACAGACCAATGTAATCAAATATTATATTATTATTATTATCAAATTTCTTTATTAAATATGGTAATTCTGGTGGAAACAAAAAAATATAACCAGCCAGGATAAGGTAAAAAAGACGTTTTCGACGGGATACACCTTCACTCAACTCCATTATTGACCGAAAGTATGAAGACCAATATGGTGTTCCCTTTAGATGATTGTGCTTTCCTTTCGCTGTATATTAGTTGGTAGACCTTTTTTTCGAAACTTAATCATATTGGCGGGAAGACCTAGAGGAACGCACCTTATCCAGATTCCCTAGAATACATGATAATTTTCAGTCGGACCGTGGACTTGGTACATTCCCAGGCACTTCCCCGGTATCGAAGTTGGCATCGTCAATGAGACTTGTCATTATTAGTACCACATCACAACTCGTAAAATAGGCAAGTGAAATCAATCTTTTAACTAATTATCTGCCAAACAGTTGTGGTAGCTCTCCTTCTCCCCAGATGTATTCACCTATCCTATATCTTCGTAACACCCCTTTACTAGCACAATTTCTCATTTGCTTTTTCGAGCGGATTTAGTGAGACCTATTCACACTCTCGACTGGTTCCATTATCGCTTCCCGTATACATTATGAGTGTCGTTCCGAGTTCGCTCTTTTATTCTGCAATCATCTTGATCCAGATCTTACCCAATTCTTCCTCTTGCTCCGTAGGATCCATCCTTAGGTTCTTATCCCTCTGATTCAGTTATTTCATTCGGTCACTGCCACCATATACATGTCACTTGAGGCGTCGTGCTCCACTCTCTGCCTCAAGTCTCTGATAGAACGTATACGTAAGCCTCACTGTGCAAGTCCCCAAATTCTGGATTCTCAAGTAACATGGAAACCTAACTTGATACTGCAGGTACCCCTCTCACTGTTCGGCCTATCCACCGAGAAATCTCGTGATCAAGCATTTACTTCATGGTTCATGTCTTGATGGACCCCGCCGCATTTCTGGCTCTGCTATCCATATTGCCGAATCTATGACTTTCTTATGCTCTAGTCTCTTGCCTGTCGACCCCCAAATGAGATGGTTCTATTTGATTTGATTACATATCACCTATTTAGGCCTGAAGCTTCAGCATTGGGTGTCTTCCTCTAAACAGTCCTCAACATCCAAGGGAGCAGCTCTACTGCATAAAAATAACTTATTATTTCTAAAGATCTCTTTTCATTCATTTCTGGTCATCGAGGCGGCTTCAAGTAAGTCCTTATTCTTTTCGGCTTTGTTAGTTGCTGTAGCAAAAAGCATCATTCTAACTATCATGTGTGAACTATCAGCCAGTAAACTATTCTTATTATTGAGCTATTCACAAGAGATTCAAGACTTGCCTTATCCGAAGCCCCAGTCATCTCCACCTGCCTTCCAAATGGCATGAAGATTCGCCGAATCTGGCTTTAAATTGCACCCTGATTCTAAAACTTCTTAGGATCTCTTCTATTAAAGAGCATATATATATATATATATATGCTTCCCTAGAGTGGAGCTTATATTTTGTCAAACAGGCATCTGGTGCTATAATCAATGATACTACTAGTAATGTTGTGAGTAGATTAATAAGAAAAAGGTAAGGCCAAACTTTAACTCCAGTTTAGGGGAAAAGATTTTTTGAAGCATATATATATATATTCCGCAGTCCGAATTCGAATCAACGAAGATCATAAGAACGATTTAAGTTTTATAGCTCCTATGATCTTCATTGCTTCCATTCTGGAATGCGGAATGTAGCATTCCTTGAGCTTCCTTAGAGTGTGGCCTATATTTTTGCCAAAATTTAGTTGACTATCTATAGTTTGGCGAAAGTCTTGAGATATACTTTCTAGAAATATAATTTGTCGATTGCTTGAAAACGTATGTCTGCATAATTTCATCTCTTTAACTCCGTCGTATGTCAATGCCTGGCCAGTCGAGATCAGTGACAATTGCTGCCACGGCAACTCTTCTGCTCTGTCAATGACACATTTTTGGCCTAATCATCACTAAGACTTTACGAATAAAGAAGCCCCATATTCGAAAATACATTAAAATACAATCTGCAAAGTCGATAAACAAATGCTTGTTTTTTATTATTATTTTATGCATTTTTATTTTAAGTGGGCATATTAGTCAAAGTGCACCGCTTACTATACATCTTTTCATCTTTTCTGTCCATTTGGATTCATACAAGCCATGTATGAAAGTGCTGGCTAGACGGACTAAAAAGCAGATTTGGCTGTGTCAACTCCCATTTAATGACCCGTGCTTGTTTATATCTTTTTATTTCGTTTGCAAATCGTCTGCCTCAACTGTAGATTTCCAAAATACGAAGACCAAAAGTCTTTACGCTCCAAGTAAGGCACTGATCGGAAAATCTTATGAAGATGGAACAAAAGGAATGGGTACTAACCTCCTATAAGCTCCTTCGAAGGCCAGCTTATATAAAAACCTCCTGCAGTCTCTTACTATCTCGAACCTTATTCCTGCACGCTGATTTTTTAGGAAAAAATGCAGACCACCAACAACCTAAAATTTGCATCTGTATGCTGCGAAGGAGACCTGTTGGCAATTTTCTATTATTATATAATTTCAGCAAGTAATACCTATTCCTATTTATTTCAATTTTCCTAATTGCAAACTTACACATTCAGTGATATTCAGTTTTAACGATGCTACTCGATTCTAATGCATCCTATGGTATGATTCCGTTTCTCCATACTCTATTTTCGATCACTTTATTGGTTTATTCTCTTACATTGAACTCAGTCTTTTTCATTTTTATTTATTTCTATTAGTTTTTATGATATCTAATTATTATATGCTGTCTTAAGACCGAATTTCCCGATTATCTGGAAAGCATTTTATCTTTGTCATTTCTCTTGCTCCATCAAAACAACCCTTATAATTTGGAATAATATAAGTCATGATATTAATCCAGTAGCGCAGCTAGGCGATGCAACAAATAACCTTGAATTAGTTACAATTTAAAATCATAATTTACATCACTTCACCTGCACATGTAAGGCATTGTTAAATTGCAGTGATGCGTCGCCTTGGGCCAAAAAGAAAAGATCATTAAGTCATGACAACCATAGTACATTAAAGCTTTTGCTCTGTTCTGACTACTCTTAGTTGAACATGTTCGCACACATGTGCACACGATACAACACTATATAGGGTTATTGTCAAAAAGCCAAATAAATCACTCTATAACTGCTGTAACCTGTATTGTGACATGATAGACGAGAGTTAGCATGCGTTTGTTGAAGTAAAAAGAGCCTGTTCTGAGGGCGGGATCATATTAACCGGCAGAATACCAAATTTGTTATAGGCCTTTCTCATATAATACAAGCGAAATGAAAGTCAATTCAGCATTGATATAACAGGAGATCAATGCCAAAGAATCTGTTAATAAATATATTCAGGACTTATTAAATTCAGAAGATACAGGTTCACATGCAGAAGGTCATTAACAGCTTTGAAACTGCCCGTGCTATATTTGACAGTATCAATGAATTAAACATAAAGACAATATACTGTACATTTATTAAACAACTATTTTGATATTTTATTTTTCATAAAACATGGCTAGTTAATATTAATAGTTGGCCTGTTATTGATGAGGTAGGCATCTGCCTGCCATAATCAATGGCACTACTATTGGCGTAATGAGTAGGTTGATGAGACCAAGACAAGGTACAAATTCCACTCCACTTTGGAGAAAAAAGGTCTTTTGAAGGCGATTTCAAATGATAACAAATAAAATCGTGGGGTCTAATTGGCTTGGACATCAGCCAAAATAATTAAGGTTGAATCCCGTGGCTATAGCATCGTTTGATATGCTTCGCTTTGGTTTAGTGACCAAGGGCTTGTTAATCACTCTAATTTGTGGCAAAAGTGTTTTTGCTTTTTCTATGCGAATGCATAAGTCTGTGTCATAACGGTGAATGTACATTTGTGACATTCCCTCCGTCCTTTGGGAGCCAAGCCGACGAATGCTCACCTCAGCCAGCTCAGCCCATGTTGGCGCCAAGCAACTCCCGAGGTCGTTTGGCAGCGCCCTCCTGACGGGACCACCGGGTTACAGATTTCACATTGTCCAGTGCCCTCCGGCCCTGAGTGGTCCGGCATTCAACTGTCGTCTGTCTGCAGAGCACCAAAA